TTAAATTCTTTTTAAAGTAACATTTGATAATTAAAAATGTCTCTGGACCTTTACTGGTTGATGATTTTCTTCATTCAGACCAAGCTGATCTTTAATTGGTTACCCCTGATTTAGGTCGTTTTAAAAAGGGTACTTTTACACTTTAACTTAAATAGAAAGCTTAAATAGATGCTTCTAAAAAAGTGTTTTTTATACAGTACAGTAGTATATTTACCTCTACTTGAGTAAAAAACATAAATACTTTTGACACCTCTGGAATTAATTGGAGTAAAAACAGCGAGCTGCTGCCATTGCTGTGTAAAAGTAAAGCAAACACAGCAGGACATAGCAAGGTGAAGGTGAGGAGCAAAAAGAAAACATTCTGATCATAACGTAGCTGAACACCTTGGGTAGAGTGAAAAACACTAAAATGATGAAGGTGTTTTATAAAATATGTGAATGAGGAAATTGTCTATATAACAAACTGAACAATTGTTGTTCTCCACTTCAGAACACTTTAGATTAAAAATGGAAAAAATTTATATATTTTTTAATTGAAAAAGTCAATGTATAACATGGATGCATAAAAACCTCATTTTATTTCAGTGTTAAATTCTGTTTAAAGTAACAGATTATAATTAAAAATGTCTCCATACCTTTACCGGTTGATTTTCTTTATTCAGACCCAGCTGATTTTTAATTGGTTAACCCTGCTATAAAGTATATAGTATATAGTCAACTAAAATGATAGTAAACATGTTTATTTTTAATATAAATTCCTTTCAACTCCCCGCCTGGAAGCGTTGCCATATTTTCATTCACCCCGGTTTAATATTTAACCAGTTTTCCTGGCAGATCAAAAGGTCCTTTAAGGAAGTTAGACATTTATGGTCCACTTTGAGATAAAAGCGTAAATCTCGGCTAAGTCTTAGCAACTGTATATATAATAGCCGAGCAAATTGGGAAAACCCAGAGGCCAACTTTTCCTCTTTGTGACGCACCTCCTCGAGGAAATGAAGGAGGGACGGCTTCCTGGCAAAGCAAAGGAATAGCGGACACTCTTAGTCAGAGGTTAAAGGTCGATGCAGGAGGAAAATGAGCTTGTTGCTATAAAACACAGAAGATTTACTGTTTACCAAATGTCATAGTGCTCTCAAAGTTAATGATAATTGATAAAAGTATGATTTTTTTATTTTTTTCTAGCATTTAAAAAAGTTAAGACACAAACAAGTGTAATACTTCAGTTTTAATTCTGGTTTTGTAAACAAAGACATATCAAAAAAGGCACAATCAATGTTACAGTATACTCAGTTTTTCATTGGCACATCTGGATCCCATTCATTCGCTCTCTGTGAAAAAATAATTCTCATAATGACGTGACGAAAGTCTCCATTAGTAGACAGTGAAGCAACAACTGTCTGCTGAAGACAGGAAACTTGTTACAGGATGTCATTTAAACTGATTTCAGAATAAAAGCTTGGATTCAAGTGCAAATTTCCTACTACCAGAGCTTTTTCTTTGCCTCGGAGAATAGTGCAGATGAGTTTAACTTGATATGTTGGTATAGAAAAGTTGGTAGTAGGAGCTTTAATTTCTGAGGTTATGTGAAGTTTGGTGACCTTTGATTGATCCATCAATCAAACCATCCTCTACGCCTGTCTGAGCCCTTCAGTGGGGCGGCGCCTGCCTACGTCAGGCTTCGACAGCTGCCCTGTTGCCTGTCCATCACAAGATGCAATAACGCACTTATCCAAAGTGCAGTTCATCATTAAAAAGTGTCAAGAATATTTTTGATAAACTTCTAAAGTGTCTTTATAGTCAACATCTACTGTGTAGTCCTTCAAGTTACGACATTTAGCCTTTTAGACCAGATCTGCTGATAAGTGGGCGAAACGTGGTGGTCGTGGTTGCGGTTGTGCTGATGTGGGGTCCATTTCTCATACAGCGCATGTTTCCAGTGGTGAAAACGCACTGCAGAGGCCATAGCACCACTATAACCAGTAGCACCATGAGCACAATGAAGAGCACCATCCTCTTCCAGTCTGCCAGTCTCCCCATCAGACCAGATCTCCTGGGCCTTGTCTGGACTGGAGGATCCACTGACTTACTGGCCCCAATGTCAATGCAGATGCAGAAGCCTGTGGGACTATCAGGGGCCCCTGAGATGGCGTCCTGTCTGGAGCTCTTGTAGCACAGCTTCTCCCCCTCCAACCACACAGGCTCCTCATGCTGTTGGTGGCTGGGGAGTTTGCAGAGGACTTCCTGGCTGGTGGCCAAAGCAGGGGGACCGTCCTCAGGCAACATGGTGGGGTGTCGACAGAAGGGGCAAGAGAGGCGCGTGCTGCTGCTCCCCTCCTGGTCGTTCAGTGTCACAACCATAAGTCGGGAAAGGCACTCCAGGCAAAAAGTGTGCGTGCACTCCAGCTGCTTGGGTGTTTTAAAGACATTATCATAGGTGTTGTAGCAGATGGAGCACTCCGGCTGGCTGGCCACTGATAGCTTCTTCTGCAGCTCTCCTGGAACTTCCTGTCTGGGAATTTGCATGTGCCACACCTGTGGAGTGCTTTCTTCCATCTTTGGAAATGTAACGCTTCCTCTTTGTCCAGGCGACTTTTTGACTGATCGTTTCTGGGTTATCTACAAAAAATGAATATGCAGAAGAGATTAGTTATTCGTCTAAATGTGTTTTTCATTCATTTCTCGCAATAATCCCGACAAGAAAACCAGGGCAGGTTTTATACTATGAATGTTTGAACCTTAGGCTATTTTAACTCCCCCTCAGTACACTCCAAAATGTCACAAAACTGGTATTTGACCTGCCAGCTGAGTGATTCTGTAATAGGAGTGATGCAACTGGGTAAAACGGGATCAATAATGTGGATTTTGTAAATTAAAGGCATAAACAAACAAGGCAGGGAAGAGTTATACAGAAAGACAGGGGAGTACGTCAGTCAACATTTGTAATGTGGGTGCTTGTGCAGGTACAACGTAGGCGTTATTATTTAGATAACATAACGTCCCTCATGAGCATAACGGTCAGGAAAACATTTTAAACTGGAAGAAAAGAGAAAGCTGGAAGGAAACTATATAAAATACCTTTGATTCTAAAACGAAGTGACTAAATGACTGTCGGAATGAACTACTTTCAATTTGGTTTTGAGCGATAACAAAAAGTTACCGCTACACTCCCTTGTACTTAATCTCAATAACATGGATGAAGCCAAACATTTGCTATTTGAAATACTGCTCTTAGTTTTTTTTGGTTTAAAACCAAAATTTTTTTTATTTCCTATTTGAATCTTGGTTGCATGAGTCAAACCCTAATAGTTTAAATCTCTGCTTTTATAAGAAGGGTTTTTAATTATTTATAAAGGGACCATACATTGAGAACATGCCTTTTAACTCATATCACAAAATCAGGATTATGGATAAAATGCATTTTGTTTTATTCTGATTGTGATTCAATGCTTATATTTTTTTTAATTTTCATTATTATTAGTGGAATCAGCACTCCTGAAACGAATAAAGTCGTTTAGTCCTGTTTTAAACAGGTTCTGTTAATGATAAATCTATTATCCTTTCCTCCTTTCCATAAAGTTAATATCAGTAGCTGTTGGAGTAGAAAGGACACTGTGTGGTTGCGTATAGCGTGGCGATTGGTTGGCTGGAAGCTGTAGTAGCACAGGTGTTCTTGTCACTATGCCCTCAGGGCTGGTCCTGCTCCTTTTCTCCCATGAGTACAAAGTCTCCACTTGTTCTCTGGCTAATCGTTCCATCTACCCTTGACATTCCTGCAACTGTCCCTCTTTATTCCTTGCTGAATATGAACAAGCTACACAAGGATTAGAACAGATGTTCCTGTGTAATTGCAATGACAGCTCATTATTTTCACAACAATTCAGTTATAAGGTTTAGTCTCTGTTTCTCAAGTGAATAATGAATCCAAGTCTTCTTCAGTTTCCTGAATGATATTTCTTTAGGAGGAAGAAGACATTATCTGGACTATTTTCAGGAGATTTTGTGGTGTTTTGAGCACATTAGCGTTATTCATGTTTTATACCCATTGTAAACTGAAAAAACAACATTCTTCTTCTTTAACGTATAATTTTGAGACTAAAATAAAAGTGATCGCATCAGACTTCAGCTATGTGTTCAATGGGATCTCAGTGTAACTTAGTGTGAAACTCTTTGAGACTCAAATAAAAGTGCTGGCATCAGACTTCAGCTATGTGTTCAATGGGAACTCAGTGTAACTTAGTGACAAACTCAGAGACTTTGTTAAAATATTACCTCTTTTAATCTAGACGCCAACGAGGAGGAACGCTGCAAAGTATCCTTTTACAATATGATAAATTACTCATTTGCAGACTAGATTAAGATTTGACCCACTTAATTATAAGAAACCCAAATAATGAGATACCTGTATGATTGTTATTTTGTAAGATAAGTAATATATATATATATATATTTTTTTTTTTTTTTATTTCTTTCTTAAGATAACTTTTGACTAAGAATTTAAGGGAGGAAACTGAAACTAAGAAATTGTCTCGGATAGAAGTTCCTGAACGTAGATAGTAGGAAATTATTATTTTTATTTATTGCATTAGTATACATTTATATTGATTAATACAAAAAGCACATGTGATCATATCTGTTTTTTTTTTATTATTTCATAAATCCCATCTTCAACTAGGAAATACCCCTAAAAGTTTTTAATTAAGGTTGCTGTTAACCAATCAGATGTTAAAGGAACAACAGAGACAATTTCATTTGTTTTTCACTGAAAAATAGATCAAATATATACTAACATTATATATATGAATAAATTAATATATATAAAGTATAAAGTTTAGATACTCCTGAATATATTTATAATTTTAAGTGACAAAGATGTTTATTTAAGATGTTATTATTGAATTTATTTGACAATTCAGCTCTAGTTGCAGTGTTAACCTGTGTTTTACTTTAAAGTAAAAAGTCTGGGTTTAGTTAAAGGTGGGGGTCATACTGACTGAAAAAATTCATCCTCTCATTTTTATTTAAATAAAGTCTGGGGTGACCACATGGAGGAAGTATTATTCATTAATGGCATTCAGGCTGTGACTGATAGACTGATTCTCCTCCACAGGATCAAATATTAACTTGCAGAGTTTTTGCCAAACCCCAAACATAAACTTCAAACACTGGGTGGGTCTCTTTATTGCCCCCTACTGCTTTTATGCAGTGTTGTGTTTTTCCTCTCTCGTCCCACTGACCTGTTTACAAAAAGGAATCACAGCTCATTACAATGTGAGTCGATTTGTTTTTCCTTTATTTTGGAAGCCAAATTAAAAGTATTGATCTCTCCCTCCTTTGTGTTATCCCAACTGCCTGTTTCTGCATATCCTGTAAATCCAACTGTCAATGCTTGCACTACCTGTTCTCAGCATGCAAAGCAAATGAAACTTGATCTACCTGAGGTTTTTTAAGAGTGTGGGGGGCGGGGGCCCTTGCACAGACGGTTAAACAGAAGGGAGCATGTGTAAACAAGAAAAACAATGCGGGCAGCAAAAAGCAAGAGCCAAGAGAATCTGAATGAAACAAGGGCTCAGAATGTAGTTTTATGACAATCCAACAATAAGAATAAACAATTCTGATGAAACTTCACATGTTTTTAAAGAAATGCCTTCATTTGTTGAAGAATAAAGCAGCTGTCTATTGTGCTGTTTTTCATTGCTAAGATGACCTTTCCTCTTTATATAAATACCTGGGAGGTTACAGGACAACATTAATGAGTCATTATTAAAAATACAGATTTAGATCTACGGGGAAAAAAAGTCCAATTTACCTGATAATTATAAAGATGCCAGGAAATCCTTTTGTCTTTCACTCAGCCTGGTTCTATTCACTCCCTTTCTATAAGGGAATACATTTTAAAAAGTAGTTTGACTTGAAAGATCCCAGTGGATGCAGTTGTTCTTCTGCTCAGGTCCCTCCCTCTAGTGCTGCAGCTCTGTCTGAGTGGCTGCTGTGGTAAAAGCTGGATCTTTCCTCCTCCTCAGCCGTTGGCCGTTGCCACCTGCCCTGTTCTATCAGCTCCCTTTTTAGCCCATATGCAAATGGAAAGTCTTGGCCTTGGGGTGGCGTCTACAGTGGAGGAGGAGGGGGAAGAAGAAGCCTCAGAACTGTGGAGCTGTAATGATTTTTCTTTATTGAAAACTCCTCCCATTCTCTGTTTATGGTGTTGGTGTTCTACCTTTATTTAGTGTGTCCACTCCCTCATCCATAATGCAATAACTAACACCTTCTGCACACAATTATAAATGTTGCAAATCCTTTTGACAAACAGCTGTACTTTTTTTACTCAGAATCTGAGGCACATCATATTCTCACATAAAAAATATATGCATGACCTTTTACGAGTTTCAAAAGCTTACAATAGTGAAAAATGTATTGCTTCCCATTTAAAGACACTATTCAGTGGTGAACTTCATTAAACTCTGACAAGTGGGTTATAAATGTTGTTTTTTTACATGATTTCACAGGATACAGGTATTTATAAACCACTGAGATAAAAGAAATGCTTTGTTCCTCTATTTCTGTTTGGCTTGATGACATCACAAGAGGAACAAGGACTGAGTTAATCAACAAGTATTAGTTAACTCTATGACAGACAAGGACGTTTTGAAAGATTTTATAATTAGCCCAAAAGAATTTGCCAGGGATGGAAACCATCTTCGGTTTTCCATCTAAACTCTTATATTTTGTGTTTGTTTTAATTATATTTTACAACCAAATAGAAAAAAAGCAGAAAATCTGTCCATAAAATGAATTTCTGTAGCTTAAAGTGAGGAGAGGTGCCTGCAGCAGCTGTATATTGTATGTGGTTGAGGATCGGTGATGGATTTGACAGGAAGTAGGCCCCCAAATCAGCAACCACCGGCGCTTTGCATGAGCCTGTTTGGTTTGAGACGAGACATTCATGCAGAGGAGTCATTTCAATGTGGCCGCTGATAAGGTAACAGCTGCCGTTGCAAGACTCACTTCCCACAGGAGCGCTCCTCTGAGAGAATGACCTCCTGTTCCTCCTTCTCAGCAGCGTTCAGTGCTGCTGACCAACATTGCGTAAGCCAACCCCGCAAGGTGACTCTTTCAGTGATGCTTGTTGTTTATCAGGAGGGGAAAATTCTACTTTAAGGGAAGTCAGCGTCCTGGAAGAAGATTAGAGAGAATTTGTTTAGGTGGAAACAGCAGTTTAAAAAAAATTTTATTTGGGTAAGAAACATAGATCAATAATTAAGATCCTGGTAATTCGGATTAATTAAAAAAGGGTGTGTTTGTCTGGTTTACTTAAATGCGGTTACTTATTTCATTTTATGGTAATGACTAATGCCTGTGGGACATTAGGAATAGCATGTCTGTGCTGTAACAGCTGCCTAACTGACCTGGTTATTAAGTAACCCAAACACAAATACTGCCGTATCACCTCAACACAGTCATTTACTGGGCGTTGTGCTGTGCACACGTGTAGGAAGGATTAAGAAATTTAATAATAAAAAAAAAATGCTGTCTCATTGTGCTTCCTGGATAGTTGGTAATAAAGATGTCATAGATAAACTTGGTGCATATCAGAAGTTGAGTATTATTTTTGCGGGTGGTTGGGGCCGGGAGGAGCTGCCACTGAAACCTCAGGAAAGGATACACGTGAGCAGGGAAGGTGTGTGTCGAGGTGGGCCATAAAACAACACTGTTTACCATCTCCTCACTTGAACTGACGGTTAGACGGAGGCCGAAGAGCAAAGATGATAGTTTCAAGGCACCAAGGGAAAAATGCGTCTTCCTTCTAAAAGGAAAAACACAATGTTACGTTTGTGAGAGCTGATTTTTTTAATACAGATTTTGTAACAATGTCCTTGTCTCTCTTGTTTCACTTTTTTATCTTGCAGAGTTGGACTGAGTTTTGATCATAAAAAGATCTGTAAACCAACCAAACAATCATTCAATTCAATTCAGTTTATTTCTATAGCGCCAATTC